GAAAATATCGTACAACACAAGAAGACAAATAAATGTATATCATAAATAGCGTTTCTCAACGTTAAGCTCTCTTTATACGTAGTCGTATTGAAGTGCGTATCTCGCGAGTCTATTGCGCTTATCCACGATAAATGACCCCCAGCGAACGAACAACTGACAAAGAGAAGAAAATAAGATCAACGAAGAAGTCAAGAATGGTTAGATGAAAATGTCAAAGTTACAGAAGAAAAGGAAAGAGAGACAGAAACAGAACAGAAATACATACATATTATACATATATGATACATATACCATCACATATATATCACTTACATATAGCATCACATATATACCACTTACATATAGCATCATATATGTACCACTTACATATAGCATCACATATATACCACTTACATATTATATACTTACACATATATATATAGGAAGAAACACAGTCATTCGTACGCATACACTGAATGTTGAACAATGCCGAGTCAATATCATCTCATTTCTTAGCCTTTATATACGTATTTTATATTCATTGCATTTTAGTGTACACATACATTACATACACACATACACATGGCTACTGTTATGACAAATATTACTATTATATATGTGTAGAATATGTCTATGACGTATGTACTACCTACGAAATTTGATGTTTCTCACAAATGCATTTCTACATACACGTGTACTTCCATTTAATAATTCGATTTATTTTTTCTTTTTTCTTTTTGTTTTTCGGAAAATTCTCAGAAATTAAAATGATTCCTAATTGCTTTTTTTTTTTCCATCGCCATTGTTTCTTCCAGTTTTTATATTAACTTACGTTAAACGTCATAGGATTATTCGCATGACTGATATTCTCAATTTTCTGTAGAATTTATTTCGTTTCATATAACACTACTTAAGTTTGTAATAGTTTATATATATATATATATATAAATGTATCTCTATAGTTTTTATTTTATTATTATTAAATTATTAATTTATATTTATATTATACAATCTATTTGACAAGAACTTAAACTATTTCAAATAAAGTATTGACAAAAACAAGTAACTCACACTTGACACACTACTCTGTCAAACATATTATTTGCATCTCTGAGGTATACTTTTTTAATAAATTTTTTGTTTTGCAAAATCAAATAGAAATTGCCCTAAATAAACATTGTTATCGTTAAAGTCAGATATCAATGTTTTTGTTTTAACAATAAAGATGAATACTTACATCATATTTGTGTGTAAAATCAAAATCAACATGAAATGTGCAATTTCAAATGAAAACGTCATATAAATCATGAAAGAAATCGATGAAGTCTATATCAAGTTAATTTCATTGTCGTTGAGATAATATAAAAAGGAAAAGCGATGACTATTGTCATTTATCACGAAATGACAACGTGCTTCTCTTCGGATAAAGACGCTGAGACATGTAGGAAATGACCACTTACAATAAATGATGAAAGATAACGTTTGACGATACATTTATCCCGATATCTGAGAATTACTCTTTATTTTTATTTAATTATTTTTTGCTTTCTTTTGATTTGTTTTTTTTTTGCAATCGTTAAACGTGTTACACAATAAATTGAAGGATATATATATATATATATATATAGATTGATACTTGATTAAAGTATTATTACATAGAAATCACGATTATTTCGGATTATGTATTAATTAATAATGTTAGATTATTGGAAAACAACTTGACATTTATCAATTTAACTTTAAAAAATTTTTTTTATTAATTTTAATTATTTAAATTATAAGAATTATGATTTAACAATATAGAAAAATAATACCAAAAAAAAAAGAAAATAATTAGCAGGAAACAGTCTGGATTCGTTTAATATAATTTGATTTATTTTAACTTAATAATAATGAATTAATATATATTTAAATCATTTAAATCTACACATATCTTAAAATAATTCAATAAAATTAACATGTATAAATGATTATAATCAGAATTATATTGTGTAAAAACTATTTTAATCTATGAAATATTAAATATTAACATAATTAATATAACATTATCTAAAATTCATATATATATAACATAATCCATAAGAAATATTGAACATTTTTCATTAAAAAGAATAAGTAACGATGTAAAAAAAAAAAAAACAAATGACTAGAGATTTATTTTCAATAACGTTTGATAAATTTAACACAAAATTTATCATAAAGAGGAAAAACGTGTAAATAAGACAGAAATGTTAGTGAATAGGTACGTATATTCGTATATAACCTATAGTTCAATAATAAAATAGAGAATTTTCGCCGCACATAGTGAGTTAAAAATAAGATAGTTCACATTGGCTATTCTAAGCACGTGTTCTCTTACTTATATTGCTTTATCTTGTCCTCGTGCATTGTACATCATCATACCTCGTGCGCAAACACGATAAACGTTGCAAATTTCATTTTCTAAGAAAGAGATTAAATGTAACCCTCCTTTTGTATCTTTTCAAACAAAAATTGTCACGAAATTATGTGTTACACTAACCCCCCTTTAAAAACATTCAATGCAAATATATATATATATATATATATATATATATATATATATATATATATATATATATATTTGTTATGTATTAATTATCCATATACTGTCCATATGTGAATGATACTGTTCACGAAAAGGTCACAGTATTATAAACCATTGAATTTGTCTCAACGTATACCAATATATTATTTAAAAAAAGAAAAAGAAGAAAGTGCATGATTCTATTTAAAAAAAAAAAAACATTAATTTGACATTGAACTTTTCTCCAAGCAGACGACCTGCAAAAACCAATCAATTTGCACCATGTGATGTTCTTCTCCTTAATGCCAAGCAAGACATTGCTCGATAATCAATTATAAAACAATTCGTGAATATAAAAAGAATTACAAAAATACTATTGTTCCAGTAAAAAAAATTAAGGTTAATTTTATTTTTTGAATGGTATCATATAAATTGATCTACGAAGTCAATGCAGATGACATTGAAATTAATTCGTTGATGTAGATCATAGGATTAAGGTAATATTATATATTTGTTTAATAACTTTTTTGAAAAAGTCATATTTAAAATAAGATGTGTATATTTAACACTAATATTATTCAGATTTACAGTATTTTATCATATAATGTAAATAATGCATACAATAAATATCATTTCAATCATGTGTGTGTGTGTGACAATTATTATTTAATTTATTAACTAAAAAGACTTAAGAAAAAAGGTTCATCTCATCCGTGTATATTTCTTGTAGAATTCTTGTTTTTTTTTCTTTTGTCGAATTAAACCGTAAAAAATTTACTTTCCAAACATGAATTATTTCATACATTACTTTCAAAACATAAAACGAACTGTATATAAGAATTCATGTGAAACTTCTCTCTTCGTTTTTTCTTGGAAATGTCTTACTTTTTGCACTGTTCTGATGGAACCCTAAAAACTGTCTAGAAATTAAACAAACAAACAAACAAACAAAAAATATCGGTTTCCTGTTAATTTGACTCTACCCTTGTATTTGTCAAAATATATTTTACGATTTACATTGAACAGTGTTTTTTTTTTATAATTGTATTATTAAACAAATTATCAAATTGATTGACTTTTAACTTAATTACATTTGCCATAATTATCAGCAAATATATACATACTCATACAATTAACACATTTATTCTAACATTTAACGTATAAGTATTCAAAATAAAATGATAACAAATGAATAAGTTTTACAAGTAGTAATAGTGTCAAAATAAATAGTGTCGCATCGATGTTGTCAATCTAATTTAAGAAAGAGCACAGTCACGATCGTTATTTTTAAGCAGGTCAGTGTAATGGAAGTATGTATGTGCGTATATAAGTATTTACCTTACATATATATGTATATATATAAATGCATGTCCATTGATACTACACATAAATACTTTGACTATATTACTAAAAACACGATGACACTAATATGTTTATTTATGTTCTTAGATAATCACGGAATAATCATAGTTCCTGGTTTATAGAAAATGTATTTCCATTAAATTTTGATCATATCGATACTTATGCATTATTACTCATGCATTCTTAATTACTCGATTTCCATCCTATCGACGTTTCATCGTAATGCAAAACTTCGTTTTATCATTGATTACAAAATTACGTATTCCATTGATCAGAAAAATTCGTACTCAAATATTTGAAAAATCATTCAAAGGATTTTTATATATTATATATTTTTATTCAATATTTATCATTTATTCTTATTTAATAAATAAAAACGTATATCTGTGTATTTATCATTTCTATACGAATATAATTTCAAATAGTTACATATAAGAAATGAAAAGAAAATTCAAAATTAAAACGTTACTAAATATTAACGATAGGTAATCATTAAAATTTTCTATATAATGATTAATAACCTATACAAATTATTTATTAATTTTATATACACATGGACTATGTGAAAATATTAGGAGGACTGAAAAGTAATCAACATTTTTCTTTGCTGACGAAATACATTTATTTATTAAAGAAATTTTAAATGCTAATCAACAAAAAATTGTTGTATCATTTTCTAACACTATTTGCCTTACCTAAAAGAAATTGTTCAATTCCCTTTTTAAAAAGTCCTTCAATTTTTCATTGACACAAATTTAAATGTGAGTATACTCATCAAAGAAATTTTGATTACTTTTCTGTATTCCTAATATATACCTAACTATTACATACTATTTTAATTGATATAAGTTCTTAGTTTTTTATTTAATTTTAAAATTACCATATCTGGATATATCTATCAACTTAAAAATTTTACTAAAAAAAAGAAAATCTATTCAAGACTGTGAGCTTTTAATTAATCGTATTTCCTATATTCTTTTATTAATAAATATAATTTTGATTATTTTAGAAGAGAAATCATTTGACATGTATAACTTTGATAAGTTCCACAATTCTAACCTTAATTTATTATAGATAATTTAATGAAAAAAATTTATTTTATTTTRTTTTCCAGATCCACCTGTCGACAGCGTCTATATGATATGCGGTGTGCTGATAGCTATGGCATTAGTCGGTGTTATCATCGTCCTACTTGCCGTAACAATCAGGTATAAAAAAGGATTCTCTAATATAATTTATTTTAAAATAAATTACTTACACAGCTAATAAAATTAATATGTTAGTCATTATCTGTAATAATGAGGATATTATATTTTTTTAAATGTAATTTTAACGACAATTAAATGACACCTTCGCGATTACGTTTCTTTCTACGTAGAAATAAATTATTAACGTCTGATCATGATTTTCATAAAGTAATTAACTGTTTTCCTGTTAAATTAAAAACACTTGAATTATTTTATTATCTTAGAAAAACATTGATAAATCATCAATTTGTTTGCCATTATTAAAAGTTCAATAAAATCTACGAATTAACAATTATACGATTATTAGAAATTACATTCTCACATATGTTGCAATTTTCATTAATTGCAATTAATTTTTTCATTTGTTTAATTAATTGTAACATCTGTGAGAATTAAATTATATATATATATATATATATATATATAAATTACGTGTCACGTTGTTTGTCCGCAATGTACTTCTAAACTACTGAACCGATTTGAATGAAATTTTACACATTGTGTGCAGTTTTATCCAACTTGAAAGATAGGATAGTTTATATCGCAATTTATTGCGAATTATTTGTTTATTAACAAACGAGTCACAGAGTTGTGAGCCACAGCAACGCGTGGCGACGCACCCCTATTAAAATATATATATATATATTTCAATATTTCTGTATATAAAAAAAAAGAAATGTTTTCTTTTGGGTTGAATATACCCTCTTTATAATGTAATTGTCATTTATTAACACGATCACTGAAGACAAATCACGTGTACCTGTTTGATAATATTCCATACTAAAATAGGGTCAAACACAAAGTGATCTTATGCTGTCGAGCCAATTAACACTGTCTGCACTATAGCACACGAATAGTTTTAAATATATATATATAATATATCAGACTTATATACAAATCTATACTGAGTGATATAAAATTAATGATAAAAGTTATCAATGCGTTTCTATGCTCTTGCATAAAACCGTTTACTTACTAATGATCAATCGTTAGCATATTTCGGATGAAAAACCCAAATTATATCCGCGTTATTGGGAATATTTTCATCAACGTGATAAGTGTTTAGACTTTAGCAATGGAAAAATTAACGATCTTCGAGAAAATTGCGTCAAACGAAGTAAATACTTTTCCTTTTGTATTATTTTTACTTCTGATGATATTTTGGAGGAAATAACAATAATAAATATCGATTTCTAACGAATATCTTTTTGTCTTTTTCTAATTCTGAAAAGTTTTTTTCTCAATAAATGATGATCGATTGAATTCGAAATATTTTCTTTTTACTCTATCTAATAATTATTCAATCAAGTTTAATTATAATCGAATTAATCGATATAAATAATATCAATTTTCTTCTTCATTTGTGTTTATTTTTACTTCTTCTTCTTCTTCTTCTTCTACTTATTTGATTTTTTTACTAGTTGTTATCTGACGCTGATAACTTATTTAAGAAAAAAGAAATGACATTTTGCACAACCGATTGAGTTCTATTTTTGGTATATTATTTAATAATTATTCAATCAAGCTTCGAATTATTATCCGATTGAATCAATATAGAAAGTTTAAAGGGTAACCCTTTGTAAGAGTTACCATCGATATCGTAACACGGATGACATTATTTTTCTATGATGTACTATTTTTATTAAAAAAAAAAAAACAAAGTAATAGAACATCTATGTTTTTTACGGTCGACCTCGCAACGTTTCATATTCGGTTTCTTTGACAATTTACTTTACAGATAATTCGATGACGTTACTTAATACGCTATAATATATCACGTCATCGTCCTCCATTTTCATACATACTTCCAATAAACATTTTGCTTTTTTTTTTTTTTTTACGTTGCGTCATAGATATCAACTTCCTTTAAGAAATCTTAAGTATCTCTCGATAATATAATATAAAACATGTGTGTGATGAGTATTTCTAAAGAAATACATGTTTCCAGTAAGATCCGTTAAGCATAATTAAGTACAATCACAAAACTTACAATTAGTTACGAATAACTCTGTGACATAGCAATGCAATGTTAAAGACGTCTGTATATGTATATGTATGTTCGTATATGTGTATATGTAGAAAGAGAAAGAAAAGCCAATAGTAAAAAAAAAATATAAAAGTTAAAAGAATAACGCAAGAATGAAACGATGAAATGTAATTTTGCAATTTTATTCTTCAAAGATAATTAAACGGGACTATATATATATATATATATATATATGTTGAAAATAGAAATTCTTTTCAGTATTAATAACAAATACATACAATTAGTCGCATGCATCCATTTGATAATTATAAACAAGTAGAAATGTTATTTTTACATTTGAGATCTTATAAATAATCATTTTACTTCTAATGATTTCATATTTAATCATGGATTATTGAAACGTGCCTATTTATCATCTAAATTACTCTTCTACATGCATACTAACACACACCTATAGCATCTTAATTCTATTATTATATAGACCATTAACTTAATTAAAACAACTCGTGTGTTACTAACAATAGATATTTATCGTGTATTTATTTCGCGTGCTAATTTCCAAATTAATTCATTACTTGATGAAAAAATATTTACCAAATTGTCCGTTAGTCGTTTTATTTTTCTCTGTTTTTTCCTTTCTATTATAATTCTTTTGTTTTTTTTTCTTATATTCTATGTATCATTGGTAATAACAATTATTAATTCAATTTTCTATACAGATAAAAACAAATTTCAAATAATTGCAAATTATTTATGAACGAACCGGTGAGTAAATTTCTGCCAGTTTAGCATGACTCATTAAACGTTTATCGCAATATCGAGGAAGAGAAATACTAAAATCAGCACAGATAAGTTATTAATAAAAGGTACTTATATATCAATTAACAAGAAGACAAAGATATAGAAAAAAAAGAGAGTGAAAATAAAAGATAAAAAGTATTATGGATTTCTTGGGATTTAACGGAAATGTAATTATAAATCATGACAGATAACGCATTTATATATATTTTTTTTTCTCTTTTTTTTTTTTTTCTTAACTTCATTACATACGTTTACAGATTTTCGAAAATTTTATATTATTAAATTGAAACAAAGCATTTATTTCTATATATATATATATCAATCTAATCCAATGATGCTATTGTGTATGAATATTCATAATTACGTCAAAAGTATTATTTAAATGAGTGTATTTTTCACTTATATATACAGACGCACGCATATACATATACAGACGTTTTTGCACATGAGAACCGTCTCTTGGATTGGAACACATACGAACACATTCAAACATATCCATTGCGAACAGAAATAGACTTTAATTAAACCGACCACATTTATCGTAGCTTTTTGTGGTCCGTAATAGATATGTCTCGCGCGAGGTCACCACGAAAGAACCCATTTTGATGGCCTGTTAATTAAGTTAGCAATGATAGTTTTACATTAGTCGTGTATTTCCTTGTTTGTAAGGTGTTAATACAAAACAAAACAAAAACAAAACGGAAAAAAAAAGACCAAAATTACATTTCTTTCGTAATTATATTTTCTCATTTAATAATTTAGGGAAGTTTCTATTTTCATATACATATTAATTATATATATATATATATATATAAACAAAACATTTGATTTACTTATGAAACGTAATCGACGAACTGTCAATAACGACGATTGACGAGTAATAACAAATATGAAATGACATTTAACCGACAATTTTAACGTTTTATTATTCTTTCGAAATATTCTCTTCTAAGTGTTTACCTGCATTTTAATAATCGCACGTATATGCACTGTATTAGCAGAAATTATCCGCTATATAACATACGAAAGGGTATATACATATATATATATATATACACATGCATACGTATCTATATGCATGTGTGTATATGCATACATAGAAATAACATTATACATATTGAAGGTAAAAGGCAACGTTCCTTGTTTCCAAGCGTGTAACGTTGCACGAGTCATTTTGGAAGGGGCCCCTCTCTCTTTCTTTCTCTCTCTCTCTTTTCTCGTTCACCCGATTCGTGGCCTTCCCCAAGGAGCGCCAAGCGATATATATATATATATATATATATATATATATATATATATATATAAAATGAGTTAGTGTATGTTAATTTCTCTCTTTTTCTTGCATATATTCTCTCTCCTTTTCTTCATGGGGGGAGAAAAAAAACGTCATACGCGCGCGCGACAGAACGTTCGAATTTCACTTAGAAGCGCCGCGTAGTGACGAAAATTAGAATCCTCGGAGCTCCAATGAGAAGAACTGTCTAGCGTGACGTCAGAACAAGGAATATAAGAGGCTTACGCGCCCTTCTCGGGCTCAGACTCGAAACACGAAAGAGACGGAGAACAATTTGTCGGCCGGTTCGCAGTAAGTGTCTATTGAGGGCGCTCGCGTGCGCGCTTGCCGTCAAAGAGAGAAACGAGGAGGAAGAAAATTTAAAAGCACATAATAATAATAACAAAAAACAACAACAAAATAAGGGCGTGTGCGTGTATCATACGTACAAAAAAATAATACATATATATTAATACTCATAAAGTATATACATATATATGTATATATTCCTTGAAACATCATCAACCACTCAGCGAGGCGTTTCCAAGCGTTCCATATTTTATCGTGTGGTAAAAAGTGTGCTCAACGAAGGTGCATCGTGTATCTAAGAAGAATAAGAGAGAAAAAGAAAGAGAAATAGAAAAATAGAGAAAAGACGTTCAAAGGCACCCTCGCATATAATATATATATATATACGTGTATGTAATATCATGACTAGCTTCGAATCGAGTAACATATTATTTTCAAAAAATTAACTCGAGATCGTAGACTTGTAAAGGACGAGAGATACAGAGGAGGGAGAGTTAAAGAGAAAGAGAGAGAGAGAGAGAAATAGGCTGACGACCGATTTTCTACGGAACTCGGAACGAGACAGAACGAAAAATAGATAAACTAAAAGATAAAAAGAGAAAAAAGATGGTTGGAAGCAACGGTACAATGATAGCCATACGGCTTGTTCGCAGCAAACTGAGGAAAAGGGACGAGCATCATTCAAATGTTGTTCATCCCGAGGATGCAACTGTTGTGCAAACTGCAACAGTTTCGGCATCCACAGCAACGATTTCAACGATCAGTACTACGGCAACGCCGCCATCGTGTCAGCTGGTCAACGAGCGATGCTTGACACAGGTGACAACCACCGGTGATGGTACATCCTCCTCTGGCACCCCTGCTCCACCCACCGCCATAACAACGGTCAACACCGCTACTACTACTACTACAACAGCCACCAATACAAGCACCGAGCACGATGGTGCTGCTTATCCGATTGCCAACACGCAGGACCGATTCGTCTGGCAATTCCCACCGCCTTATCCGCCACCACAATATACATTGTCCTATAACGATCAGGTAAGTGCCACCACCACCACCACCATCATCACCTTTTATTACTTGTTTTTTTCTTCATTTTCATTTTATCCACAAATTCTTATCCTTATTTCTTATAATCCTCAGGTATTATAATACTCTACGCATTCCTTGATATATTTAATAACATTTTACACATGATCACAATTTGTAAGAGACATTTAATGATTACATCTTACAAGTAAGTCACATGATTATTCCTACTCTTCTCACTATATGTCGTCAATTTGAAATAATCGATATTTTTACATATATTAACGCGTAAAATTGTTTACATTCTTTATACAAAGAGATATCAATTTAGGATTATCAAACTTTTACATTGATATTAGTTTTATCTGGAGGGATGGAGGGGGTGAGAGGGAGTAAAGGATATATAATAATAATCATAATATATAATGTTTTTGTCAAACAATAATAGTTTACCGTCGATTTAGGTAAATCGATAAAAGAACAAAATGACGTAGCAAACGTTTGATTAATGTGCATTAGCTGCACGTTTATATCGTTCGATGCAAATTGTACGATGCATGGAACATTTGTTAAAAAAAAAAAAAAAGAAAAAAAATAACTTGAAAAATAACTTGAAAAACACTTGCACTGTTATTTACTAATTTCGTTTTGACGGTGGTTTTTTTTTTTTACCACGAGAAAGAGAAACCTTACAACATTAAGTTACCACAAGTTCTTCTCTTTACCAAGGCAGTATATTTACCGTAAGAGAAGAATGATTCGTAAGATCGAGTATCGTTTTAAACAGTATAGAAAAACGAAGCGCAAGGACAGTGACCCCTGAGGCACAGTGTGATGGCTCCTTCCTCCTCTTCCTCTTCGTTTCTGATGATGAGAACCTTCTTACTATACCACCTTTGCTCGTACTCTATTTTTATGTTGGATCGAACTGTCGTCTCTATTCGTGAGAATCCGCTTTCATTCTTTCTTGTTCTTTCTATCATTTCATTTTTATTTCTTTTCCCTTTTTCTTATTTTTCTTTTTCTTTCTTTTTTTTTTCCCCAATTTCCTCCCCATCCTTCTCCGTGTCTAATAATAGATACAATCGTATCTTCATTCACTTTTTTTTTTGTTTTTTTGAGAGAGAGAAAAAATAGAACGTTTATAAGTTGCATAGATCAATTTTTTTTTTTATATATATATATATATATATACACTTCATTACTTTTGCATTAATTTTTTTCTATTTGTATGTTAGAACGATAAATGTATATTTTCATATAGCCAAGAAATTTATATAAACAAATATTTAGGTTAAATATAAATAGATTGATATTTTGATATAGCCAAGATGATTTGCGTTACTGGTAGAAATATTTGTTATTTTATGAAATTACAAGACATTAATATATATATATATATATATATATAAATTAATGTTCTACTTGACATCCACCGTTTATTTCTATTTTTAATATTGCTCTTACTTTTGCATATGTTACCGTAACTTTAACAAGAAGAGACAGGTGCAGATTTGCAAAGGTCATAAGTCAAATTATTCAAATAATACGAGAATTTATTTAACATCGATTAATATAATAAGAAAATAGAGAAGAGAAGAAAAACATTTAATAAATATATAAAATAAACAAGGTATACAAAATATTATTAAAGAGTTATATAAAATATACTTGACAAATGAAGTCTCAAATATTAAAATGATTATTAAATACAACTATAGTATCAATATTATTGATTTAGCAAGGACGATAGGAGGCGTAGTATTGTATATAGTTCAGTAAAACGATAATGTTGTGTGTTGCTTATCAAGAAAAATCAGTTGATATTGCGATATATTCGGATAAAAAGAGAGAAAGAGAGAACTTTTATCGACCATTGGAAAAATTTTCTTAACAATATTATCCTATTGTTTAAATATTACTTCACATTTCTCTCATTCGAATGTCCAATATTTAACATTAACTCGATTCTATCTGATGATTACACAAGGTATCTCGTTGAATTATGAAAAAAAGAAAAAAAATGAAAGAAAGAAAGAATTTGTACAAATAATCAATTTAACGATCGGACAAATTCGTCTTATCTCATAATCAATATTTTTACATATCATTCAATGTCACGTTTTTATCGCTTATTTCATTTGAATTTTTTTGTTTTTACTGTATTTTCATTTCGTTGAAATTAAAAACCTTAATATCGTTAATAGTTTTAATATCTATATTATCATCATGTCTTTTCAGAAAGATATGATCAAAAAATGGTTCAATTTATTGAATCGTTTTGTTTTACGCGTAAATGCTTTTGATTAAAATCCCGGCGCCTGTACTGATTGCAATCGGTTGTTCATGATTGCGATCATCAAAACGATTCGAGGTCGATACTACCCTTGAAACTGGGCTTAATCGTTTAGCTTTTAAATTTTTAAATAGAACTCAGTGTCTCTCGAGAGACACACACGTTTGCCAGACTAAAACCGTCCTGTTCTTTCGTAATACCGACGAGACGGTGGCATTACAACTTGGCAATATTTATCTCGTTAAATCGGTTTAAATCTATCATTTAAAAATATATATATATATATATTTTTTTTTTACAATAATGATGACGATATAACGATGACGACAATGATGACGATAATTACGACGAGCCTCTTCTTTATTTTTATTTAAACAAAAAAAAAAAACGTATTATCAAATAATATAAAATAACATTTGAAATTTTAGAATAAGATTAGGAGGATATCATAATATGTACATACGTAAAATTGAATTACGTAATAAGAGTAAAGTTTGAATTATCTTTTACTATCACATTTGTATAACCGAACATAATTCATAGTGATTACCGTTGATACTTCTTATGGTTAGTCGTTTATCGATTTTCATTTAAATTCAAACGTTTTTAGTTAATTGCATGAACTTACGTTCCGCTAATATTCGAATTGAAATTGAAAGAAAAAAAAAGGACAAAAAATATTAAATATATTTCATGCAATAGAAAAATGTTGTTCGAAGGTAAAAGTGTTTCACCCTCAAATCGGTTCCTCCATCATCATCATCATTATCATCATCATCATCGTCATCATCCTACCCAAGTTCGGTGTGACAAGCCCTCATGCTTGTTGCTAAATTTATCGTGGATTGGATAAACGGTAAACCAAAGACCGAGGTCGATTCATAAGATTGACATAACCAGCTGCCATTGCCATAAATGTCAGCTATTTGATTAAATAAAAAGGAAATTATAAAAGAGAAAGAGTGAGAGAAAGAATCCTTTTGACATTAGTATCCTATTTCAGTAGGAGGATCTCGTTAAAATTGAAAGTATCAATCGTTTAACGATAATTCATTTCAATCAATTAGCTTTGATAAACTATCCTCTCAATGACATTATTTTAATAAGGTAGACAAAAATATTAATAAGTAATAACCAAAGAATTTCTTGTTAAATTTAATGACACACTAATTATACATCATTGGTGAATTTACTACTGGTTTGTTATTTGTGATGTAACTTGTATAACAGTGTACAGATATATTCTTCAGTTGACTTAAGTATTAATACAGTAGGAATAATATGTACTTACATATTGTGTTTTTTAATATGAGTCGTTCATAAACCAAAACGATAAACTTCATTTTTTTGTCAATTTTATTGACAAAATATTTGATCTAATCAATAACAAACGTTTTAGATTTAAAATAAATTTCTTTAATAATTAATCTTAAAATTGATCAAAATGACAACAATTTTGATTGATATTTAATTGTTAATGATGCGATAATTAATATATAATTAATAATATTATACATATATGTATTATTTTATCAATTTATACTTTTGGTTTCGTGGAGTTAATCGATATAGCAAATAAGTGACTCATATATGTGTATACTATTAATTCAAAGTATAGATAGGGACAGTAATCATGTGACAAAACACGTATATACATATATATAGTTAACAAAATGTCATTTCCTTTTATCCTATCTATGGAGGGTCTCTACCCTCTACCTCTGTAAGGAGTAACATCTCTGTATATGAAAAGTGTCCGTCGAAATGCATTCAATTAGGGTGGCGCCACAGTACGCAGAGTGTCAATTTTAAAGGAAGCGCCAAATATTATTAGAGTAGGATTGCGAAATAAACAAGGAACACAAATTTCACAACACAAATCTAACCCATAACTGTTTTATTATTCACATACTTTTTCATAAAATTAAATAATAAAAAATCAATAAACGTACTATTCACAGTTCACCAAATAAAATCACTTTAGCTACACGTTTTCTCATAATAATTCTTTAAGGTTATATTTACTACATTATTACATAACTCGGCATACTTCAATTCGTTTACAATTGCTACATTCATACCATACCTTCTAAATTCACCAGCGCCATTCTGGAAGGTTTTTAAACTGTTATTTATAGAAAACGTTGGACACTTTTTCACATTTTCTCCCATAAGAGATGTTACTCCTTACCTCTACCCTCCATAATCTTTCAATTATTATTTTTTGTCAAATATTGAAAAAAGATCTGATGATAAAATTCTTTTTTTTTTTGTTTTTTTATAGGACACACTTGTACACACATTACCACCTGTGGGCGGTAGGCCAGGATTTGCAAAAGGCTTTCGCAAAAACTTTGGTGGACATTGGCGTCGTTTGGTCAAGAGGAAACCGGAAAACGAGACTTGTGCCATTCCACCGGAACTGAGGGATCAACTAAAAACGATCTACGTTTATTGACCAACCCGTACAGATGATAATACCAAATCGTACCTCGAATTTAGTGTTGACCTTCCAATCTGATGAAAATACGAACGCTTTTTTCATATCATAATTCGTAAGAAGATACGTCGTTATATCAATTAATAACATTAAGGGAATCGAACATGGAAGATTGTTTAACGAAGCAAAATCATTTTGAAAAAAGGAAAAATAATATGAACAAAAGAGGGACAAGAGAAAATTCGAAGAAGATAGAAAAAAATAAATAAATAAATAAATAAATAAATACAGGATGATGGAGACACACAAGTTGTTCTTAGATAATTTGAAATATCAAAAATAATCTCATTATTATGAGTTCTGCAATATAAAAGTAGGAATAATATTTAGAATTTTTTTAAATAACATTTTTGTGTCTCATCTATCCATTAACGAATCATCGAACGATGGTATGACTTTTCTTTAATAGTTTAAATAAAATATTTTTGAAATAAAACATAAAGAGAGGAGAAAGTAATCAGAGAAATTATTAACACGATGAAATATTTAATGTTTAAACATATCAACAACAACAAAAAGTGCCCGAAAAAAATATCTCTCAAAAAGATATGAAATTACTGTTTGATTTTGAATAATCGTGAAAAATTGAATATACATACATATATATATATATATATAGTACATACACACCGATAAGTGCCTTTCTTGCAAAATCTCGTTCATGATCATTTTATAAACAAACGGGCAAAAATTATCGTCATGTGTACATGCAATATATAATTTTATATCATCTTACCATTCGTTCGAGGAATCTTAACGTGCTTAAATAGCTGGACTTTACGCTATAAATGCATATATATATATATATATAAGAAGTAAGAAGAAGCTTCGTTAAACGATGTAAAAGAATTTTTATGAGACTGAAAAAAACGTTAAAAGAGCTACGACAAAACGAATTAAATCGTAGCTTTTTTTTCCTGTTTATGTATGTATTTTACTATTGATCTATAATAGTAAGAGAGAGAGAGAGAGAGAGAGGTAGAGAGTAAAGAAAGAAAGAAAAAAAAAAGAAAGAAAGAAATAGAGTCATACTCAAGTAAGAAGAATGAATCACTTTCACGATGCACTAGTATTAATGTTATTACCTGAGAAAAATATATCTAATATCTAATGTGTATAATATAAATATGATAAAGAGATCAAAATGGAAAAAACAAAACAAAACAAAAAATAATAAGAAAATTCAAAACTCAAGGATAAATCTCTTGAAAGCGGTTTTAATGCTTCTCTCGCGCATCTCTTTAAAAGAATAAAATAAGAAGAAAGAAAGAAGAAAAAAAAAATCAAGAAAAAAAAAACAGAAAAAAAAGCTCTGTCTTTGATGTAAATAGTAGATATAATGTTAGTTTTTTAAATAACGATGGCGTAATCTAATGATTTCCGAGCTACGGTCGTATTGACGTTTTTTCAAATATCATCCTCAGTATATATATATAATAGCGTACGACTAATTCCAATAATTTGTCTAATTACAAATTTCATGAAAAAAAAAGAAAAAGAAAAAAAACCTTGTACGATTTATTCAATTCGCAATAATAATGTAATCAATAATAATAATAATAATATATATATATATATTTAGATGTAACGTGACAAATGGTTTTAGTCGTACGTTCATTAGCATCGATCATGTTGCTCTTCTCATCTATACGCTATTCCGGTAAATTGAAAATAGAATGAAATGGGGATGATAAGAAAGCAAAATTGTAATTCGATAAATAGGAAAGAAAAAAAGAAAAAAGAAAAATGTACTTTACATCTTTATCGTTCTACTCCTCCACCCCCCGTTTTTCTTTCTTTGACAAACACCAAAACCACGAATAGTGTATAGCATTTTGTAGCTGACTTAGACCAATTTAAAAAAGATCTTTATATAATAACATTTACGACTCATATTGAGTCTGCACTACTTGCTAAACTACTACGGTATTTCAATTGCGTATTATTGTAATTAATTTGTACAGCAACACAGCTTCACTGAGTATTAAATAACGTTGTTGTGTCTTGCCCTTTTTATTAAAAAAAAAAAACAAAAAAAAAACAAAAATTTTATTTCCCTAATAACTACACTCTTTTGGATTGTTCGCTCGTTTCTCTGCCAAATTAACGTAAACGTGGTGGCTTTTCTCGACAAGACAATTATTGAACGAACGTTCCCGTTCTTCTGGCGTACGTCTGTTTGCTGTCTGTCTCCTCTGCTGTTTGTCTGTTGTTTGTATGTAGAGGTGGTGTACATGTATGATGTGTGTATGCGAATGTACGATTGAAAACATCGAACAAAAAGTCATTATTAAATAAAAAGATAAATGCCTTAAATTTGGTGACTATATTAGTCACATGTGAAAACTACGCTAAAAAAAAAAATGAAAAAAGAAAATAATAATAATAATAATGATGAATGAAAATAAACAGAAAGGGTATAAAGTAAATAAGCTATTATCTATCTAATCAACGTTCCTGCACCAGCCGAAACTGTGAAAATAAGTTGTATTATGGTATTTTAAGACACGACTATTGTAGAGTAGATATGTAATACTAGCATAATGCTTTTGTGCGCGGCACGGATTATTCTAACGATTACGAATTTATTCAAGTGCCTACATTATATATACATGTATATATATAATTATAATATTATACATAATATACATATATATATATGTGTGTAATAAATATACATGTATATATATATGTATATACATATGTATATGTATGTATATATATGGGGAATAATTCCACGTGAAATCGTCTACTTTTGACCCCCCGATCCCTTTTCAATTTTGCTGAAACTTTTTTTTTTATCATTTTTCATTTCATTCAAAAATTTGTTGAGAATTTTTGCAGATTTGTTTAGGCAAACCCAAAAAAAAAAAAATTACGAATTTTTCACAAATTCCAAATTTTTGTTCCATTGTTTTTTTTTTCAAATAGTCCATAACTTCGTCAAAAATAGACTTATCAGGACGTTTTGTTTTTTTTTTTAATTTTTTGTTTTTAAATGTACTTTTTGAAAAAAAAAAAAAAATATTTTTGAATTTAAATTGTATAAATTAATTTCGTCTTTTTGGAAAAAAAAAACTTTAAATTTTTCAAATTTGTATATTTTTTAATTTGTTTTTCTTTTCCTTTTTTAACTTTCGTTCATTCCGAGCCTAAATCATATTCTTCTTCAGATGGGCCGACTTTTTTTTCTTTTTTTTATTAATTTTAAAAATTTTTCATTTTATTTTTTTTCGACATTTCATTTTGTTTTTATATTAAAATAAACCTAATTAAATAAATAGAAATATTTTTACATGTATTTAATGACCTTAGTTTAATTATATATTATCGACAATTATAAATACAAGAAGATTGCAGTGCATTATTGGTCACTTTTTCAAGTAAATATAATTAACAATGTATTCAAATTTTCTTGATCGTTTAAATAATTTACAAACAGTATATTTCTCAAAATTAGAATAATATTTTAGAAATAAACACCCTCTGCAACCCTATCTGCATAAAGCTACCGATGATCTAGAAAACCAATTTTTAAAAGCAAACAGCAATGTTGGTATTCAGCAATTGCATAGCGTTATAATTACCAAACAACGTAATACCAAAATTGAAAGGGGTCGGGATCAAAAGCGGTCGATTTTACATGGAATGTCCACTATATACATATATATGTATACGTATATTTCTGTACAGAAAAAACCATGTTAAAGCGAAATTATAGGATGGAGCTGCGCTCCCACCACCTAGTCACTTTTAAAAATACCATCGAAACGTATCCTTACGAATTTTTAGTACAGCTTCGAGTTTCTCTTTGACTATCTATCTAAATACAATAATATTAAATAAAAGATTTTAAATGAATTCGAGAGATTTACTTTTTTGCTCAATACAAATTTTTCCAACTTCTTTTTCTTCCACATCTTTTTTTGTCATATACTATATATATTATATACTATATATATTTATATACAGTATAATATATATAGTAATAATATTATTACTATATATGTTATACTATATATAATAACATAATATATAGTAATAAATAATAAATATAATAATATAGTATAATATATAGAGTATAGTATAATATATATATATATATATA